CAATATAAAACAATCAGCCAAATAACTTTTCAATACATTATTGATTACTATTTTTGAGGTACTTTTAGGTTGGCAGTAAACACAAGTCAGAGGTAAATGGTGTACTTTGACTCCACTACATGTATTTAATACCTTTAGTTACTTTACAGATGTGGATTAATGATGTGAAATATAATCAAGTGTTAAATCAGACTTTAGTTCCACCTGGAGTAAATTCACAAGCTACCCTGCAGTATACATTAGCCGCGTTCACACCAAGTACTTTGCCGTACTTAGTGCCGGCACTTAGTGCCCCGGCACTTATTACCCCAGGGCACTAAGTACAGATCGCGTTCACACCGGAGTACTTTTTCCTGAGGGAAGATTACGCAAATGAGCCGCTGACGTCACTTCGTCTTCTTCTGCTTTGGGTTTACTGGCAGGCCGCAAACCACTTCACGGTGTATACTGCCACCCGAAAGTCCCCGGAGTTGGGGACTGGCTTCAGTAGAAGCTGCTGGGACTCCCAGCAGCTTCTACTGAAGCCTTCCGATTAATTTGCAGAACGCCGACACCTCCTCATCTTCACCGCTCCCATGTTTTATTTTGTGTTGCCATAAGTTAGTCTCTCTGCGTTTGTGCGCTGGGCGAATGCTAATGCTAATGCGAGGATAATCAAATGGCGGCTCTACAAAACATTTCAGAGTTGTACGGGGCGTGGTTTGCAATTCGCCCAGCCAATCAGAACTGGGACACTTTTTCCCCCCAGGAAAGTACCATGTCTCAGCAGGCACTAAAAATGGGGGTAAAAGTTCCTGGCACTAAATACTCTTTTTGGTGTGAACGCGACATAAGGGGTACTAACGGAACTAAACGCGAAAAGTACGGGGAAAAGTACTCCGGTGTGAACGCGGCTAAAGTCATTCAAACTAACTGCACCTTTACCAGCTTTGAGAACACTTTCATGATCAATCATTATAAAACATATCATATATATTATTCTGAAATGGACCAATCTGCACAATGACTACTTGTACTGTCGCTACTTTAACTATATTTTGATGATAATACTTTTCTACTTTTACTTGAGGAACATTTTGAATGCAGGACTTTTACTGTAACAGAGTATTCCTACACTCTGGTACTTCTACTTTTACTCAAGTACAAGATCTGAGTACTTCTACTTTTACTCAAGTACAACATCTGAGTACTTCTACTTTCACTACAATATCTGAGTACTTATTCCACCTCTGGTAGCGTATTAGCCTGAATTGTAGCCACAAAATCACGCAGAGCTGCATAAAAATAGACTCACAATGGTAACAAGTGGAAAATAATATTTACAAATGTGTACAATGATTTGTAGGTAATTTTGACTACTCAAGACACCTGACTTATACATCTTCAAAGGAAGACTGTGTTCATTACATTACATTACATTACATGTTACTTGTTAGACGCTTTTATCCAAAGCGACTTACATACTCAATACTGTGGGCAATCCCCACAGGAGCAATTTGGGGTGAAGTGTCTCAGGGACACAACAACATGCTGACTGCAGTGGGGTTTGAACCTGTGACCCCCTGATCAGAACACCTACACACAACCCACTGCGCCACACGCCTCCCTGTGTTCATTCTACAATTACATGGGATTAAAGCAAAATGTAGTTTTACTTGTATAATACTTCAAGATTTTATATAAAAGCCTGTTTCTAAAAGTATCAACCATAGCGACGCGGTCAAATCCTCAGTTTATAATTTATAACAACATACTAACAAGCTAAGGTCTAATTACGCAACCCAGTCTCACGGCATTTCGTGTTGTAGTCACAAAATAAATGTAATCTATGGATTCGTGTTCACCAACACGATTTTCCCCTTTTTTTCGTGTCACACAGAACGATTTTAAAAGTAATGTATTTCTATTGGTAGTGTGTTTCGTGCCTGCAACACGTCTTTTTGTCCGGTCGGGTCTTGGAAGACCGGAAGCTGTGTGGTTCATAAAAACATGTTCTTACTCAATATCAAGCCACGATTATTGTTTTTATTTTAAATCGTATAATGTCGGGCTTTTTTGGGGCTCAGAGCCTCAGAATACTGAAATCTGTATATATTTTTTTCCTTCTAATTTGTTATTATTTGTGACCCGCTCTACCGAAATCAGTCAAAAGTCGCAACGGCTGATTTAAAAAATAAACGTGGATTTGTGTAAAAAAACTAGTTTTTCAGGGTTCGGGTGTTTTGTTTGATTTTAAATAAACAAAGTCTTGGCTTTCAGAATATGAAACTGTTTGCCGATTAATTGCCAAAATCTCATGATAAATACATTTTTAAAGCTTGTAAAGGGAAGAAGAGGCACCTCTCAATTCGCACCCTGCTCTTCCGCAGCACCGCTCCCCCTCCCTCCGCTGAACTTATGAAGTAAAGGCGTAGAGTAATCATAGATAACACGACAGGGTCCGTTACAGTTTGTTTTTATCTGATTTCAAATAAACAAAGTCTTGGCTTTCAGAATATTAAACTTGTTTCGGCAAATTTAGATGATAAATACAACTTTGAAGCTTGTAACGGCATAATTACAAGCGGAGAACGGAGTAACTTGACGTCACAGCAGGCATAACAACAGCCGGTGTTTCTTGTGAGTGTTTCTCCGGTACACAAACACACATACGCAAAAATACACAAACATACACACACTCGCGAGCTTCCCCCAGACCAGTAATACAAACGAAAATGTGTCTGCGGGTCAATGTGACTGATTTCGATAGAGCAAGTAACATTTGGTTTAGGCACAAACATACTACCAGTAGAAATACATTGCTTTTAAAATCGCTCTGTGTCGAATCAATAGATTATATTTCGTGACTATAACACGAAATGCCTTGAGACTGGGTTGAATTACAACAGTGAGTGCTTCATCCTCTGAACACTGTAACGCACATAACATAGGTGCGCTCCTCTGAAATGATTGTCCCCTGCAATTATTATTATCCCTCATCGAGATCGCCTTGCTAACGTTAGCTTAAACAAACGTAACATGCAACGTTAGCCTTATCTAAAATGCTCTACTGCGCAGAGTTCTCGTTAGAATATTTTTTTGCCGGTCAAAATGACCGTTAAAGTTTAAATCTTCCGAAAAAATTTGAAAAGTGCCGGTCAAAGGTCTTCTTTGTTATTTATTGAGCTTTAAAACAAATTGATATGATTCGATATTAAACAAACTAATTATAGTAGATTAACTATTCAAAAGTGTACATTAACTTATAACACGGGAATAATAAACGGAACGCTCTCTCTCTCTCCTGACAGCCCGTCAGTATCATGCAGCTCGCGGATCCAGTAATGAGTAGGGTTGCAAAGGGGCGGAACATTTCCGGTAAATGTCCGGAAAGTTTCCATGGGAAGTTAAGCTGGGGAATTTTGGAAATATTCGATTCAAAATTAAACAAAAAACATGACATTTCAACAGATTTTTTTAATTTTTTTTAAGTAGAACAGAACAAGTTTTAATTATTTTATTGAACAATTATTTGTTTCATTGAAGAACGAAAACAGGAATGTTGAGTTAAATATTACTCATCTGTGCATGTGATGGAGGAATGCACAGTGCCTGTAGGGGGTGTGGTCTCAATAGCCATGCAGTAAGCAGTGTGCTATGGCATGGATATTCAAGTGTACTTGAATGGCATCTGTTTGTTTTAGTCAAGATTATGCTAAAATATACTTTCCCCAACTATATTTAAGTTCCCTATGAAGAGCCAACCTTCAATTTAGAAAATTCCCAGTTTATTCCTATAAATTCCCATTTATTCCCATGGAAAGTTTCCATCTTTGAAAATTCCCGGAATTTTGCAACCCTAGTAATGAGTGACCCCGGACAGTAAAAATAAACATATCTATAACTAGTTTAGGTAGTTTGAGAGGTAATTAAAATAGCTACGTGTGATATTCTAACCTGAAGTGTGTGTGTTGCTCCCTGCAGGTGATCATGCAGAGCTGCGTGTCGACTCGTCAGCAGCAGCTGATCTCTCTCTCCCGTCAGATTACTTTACTCGCGTTTATGTCCATATTTATCAGATCTAGCTAGTTCTAGCTAATGATATGACTACCTTGCTTATTAAAAGACACCTAAACAATAAGCGTCGCTATGCAACCGGGTGAGGCCGCAAAGTATAGCGCAGAATTATGCATTTGTTTACATGCCAACCGGAACCCCGAGGCATTACCAACAGATCAACGCACAATCAACCCATACAGGACATCTCTTTCTCCACATTAAGTGTTAGACATTAGAATTGACTCTTCTTGTCTGTCACATAAGTGGCGCAACTGATGCGGTATTGCGCTAAGGGGAAATGATTTTGACCGGAGAGATTTAGATTTGCCGGTCTTCAGCATATTTTACCGGTCATAGTCCGGTAATTACCGGCTAACGGGAACTCCGCTACGCTATGTCAACTATGGGGTGTCATCATATGCCGTTTCCATGGCAACGCATCCCTCGCCATAAAACACGATGTTGTCGTAACTCAAAGGAAAATGGTCCAAACAGCACCAGACTTCAGATGACAGTTGATGGTCCGGCCCTCAACACCTCAATATGACAAAAGTGAGTTTTCCTCAAAAGCTGTTTCCATGGCAATGCATCCCTCGCGTGAAACACGGTTTTCTCATAACTCCATTGAACATGCTGCAAACGGCCCAAAACTTCACAGGTTTGATAACGATGCAGCCCTCAACACATGGCGTATTATGGGGTGTCATCAAATGCCGTTGCCATGGCGACAGATCACTCGCCATCAAACACAATGTTTATGATACTGCTGTAACTCCTATGTGCGTTGTCCGATCGGCCTGAAACTTCCCACGTTTACCAACGGGTCCAGTCCGGAAAACACCTGCGTGACACGTCGACGTGCGGACAACAGCCTGCGGAGCGTCGAAGACCCGCTCAACGCTGCTTGCAGCTTTAATTATTATTGGAATTCAATTATTGATCAGGGCTGATGGGACACTCACCACTTGATGCGGCACTGGGTCCAGGACCGGGTCTCCACCTGCTGGCTGGTCTCATTCCAGGGCAGGTTGTTACACAGCTGGTCTCTGGTTAGACTAGGACCTTCAGAAGCAGCTGAATCTTCAGAACCAGCAGGACCCCCAGCCAGAGCCTCCAGGTGAGTCTTCAGTGCCCGCTTCAACCTGAACTCCTCCTCTACGCTCCACGCACCCCGTCCTGCAGCTGGAAACACCACCACACACACACAAACAGTTAGTAAACAGTGTGCGTGTTCCAACAGAAACTCCATAACCGGGTAAGGACTGACCGATGTGAGCAAAGCGTTTCTGTAACGAGTACGCGCTGCGGTCCATCTTCTCGGCGATCTTTGACCAGTCGTTCCCGTGCAGAGTCTGAAGCTTCATCAAAGAGCGCATCTCCTCCTTCGAGAACCTGGACACACACACACACCACACACACACACACACACACACACACACACACACACACACACACACACACACACACACACACACACACACACACACACCACACACACACACACACACACACACACACACACACACACACACACACACACACACACACACACACACACACACACACACACACACACACACACACACACACACCACACACACACACACACACACACACACACACACACCACACACACACACACACACACACACACACACACACACACACACACACACACACACACACACACACACACACACACACACACACACACACACACACACACACACACACACACACACACACACACACACACACACACACACACACACACACACACACACACACTTTTAAATGTAACTCAATGGGAGGAACCTTCAAATCCTCTTTTACCTACAATAGTTTAATTTTTTTTTGCTTCATTTTTTTTAATTTTACAACGTAGGAGAGGTTTTCCTACGTTTTTCATGGAAAATGATGTCCAAGGAGGGTTTGGGAGTTATGGCAGGTTTAAAACATTTTTTGGGGCGAATTTCAAGCTCTCCTCCACTCTGTTTTGAGATCAAAGCACTCTAGACTTAACGAGCGGCGCAATACACACTAATGGTGGTCACGTCTCTGCTTTCTTACAGTGCAGACGCTTTTCTGCTTGCTCTTGCCTCTGCTTACTTTTTTATGCTGATTTTCCTATTTTTCTTTTCTGAAAACTTCGAGCAGCGGCTCCTGGACATTAACTTATCACTGGGACAGTTATTCTTCGTAAATAGATGGAGGGTTTCAGCCATATTTCAATATTTTTACGACGACCTCAGTCTTACAGTAGCGTGGCCTAGAAACAGCTAAAGCCTGGTACTGCATGCTATTTAGCTTAAGCTAGTTAGCAGCAACATGCCTCTGTTCTCTAGAGATGACTTCCACAAACTTTTACAGAAGATGGCCGTGTTGGAAATGAAAATGCAACGGTTGGAAGTTAACTAGGAAGTGAATGGTGAATTACTAACAAAGCACTTCTATACTAACAAAGGACTGGCTTATCTAAAGCTAGTTGAGTAGCACTTGAAATGTTTTGGCTCTATGAAACCTGATGTACTTATATGATTCTGTTTTCTTCAAGTTTGTATCTTCTTGGTCGAATGGACTTATTGTAAGTCGCTCACAGCTAGTTAGCAGCTACAAGGATTCCAAGGAACAGGAGGGCTGTGTAGGCCTACCGGGTAATACATCTACAAGTGGTAGTCCTCCCTGGAACTCTCTGGGTGCAAAGCCTAAGAGTAAATCATTTCCATGGGATTTGGGAGGACGAATAACAGGCAGAGCCCAGCGCTCTGAAATCTGTGATGCGACTGGCTGGCCTGCATTGTTATCACCCAGGAAGAGTGCCTCTTCAACCCCTATTCATACTAGGAAACAGCCGTGGACAGCTGCTAAAGGGAGAGCTACAAACAATCCTCCCAAACCACCAAGTGTGCCAATCCAGAACAGATACGCTCCGCTGACACAGAACCGGAGATCTCTTTCTGATGACCTGGATAACCTGCCCTCTTCACACAGCAGGGTAAGGACCAATAGCTACTCCAAAAGTAAAAGGCTAGAGGGAAAGCTAACGACTGGGCCTGAAACTCTGATTGTGGGTGACTCTGCTGTAAGAGATGTAAAAAGTCTGTGTAGTAAGAACAACACCAAAGTACTCTGACTTGGCTGAGAGGATCCTGCATATTGGGTCTGGACATCCGACTGCGACAGAAGTGCTGAAAGAAGACTTTAAATGTCTGTTGGAAACTGTCAGCTCTCTAAATGCGGAGGTGTTCATCAGTGGCCCTCTACCACCAGTCAGAAGAGGAGTGGAGAGATTCAGCAGACTGTTTGCACTGAACACGTGGCTTTCAACTGCCTGTACTGACCATTCTGTCCATTTTATTGACAATTTTAACTTTTTCTGGGACCGCAGACATCTTTTTAAGGCAGATGGACTTTGCCTGAACAAGGCAGGAGTACAATTGTTTATCTCTAACATATTCAACTGCCTGCGTCATCAATCTGTTCCCTCTGCCAAGGACAAGCAACAAGTAAAACAAGAGAAAGACACAACACATCGCGCAGAACACCATGAAGAAGTATCACTGCACCCGCCTGAGGAATGTCTTGATTATGGGAAACCTATGAGACAAATGGAGGAGTCTCCACCGCCCTTCACCCCCCCTATCACCTTTGAGGATACTCTTCCTTCACCCCCCAGCTCTCTCTACTCTCCGTTCACCCTTTCACCCTCGCCCACCCTCCTGGAGTTCGACCACATGAAGGAAATACAGAGGGTTGGCACCAAGTCCTTCCTGGAGATCAATAGCCGTGTTCACACCGGAGTACTTTTCACCGTACTTTTCGCGTTTAGTTCCGTTAGTACCCCTTATGTCGCGTTCACACCAAAAAGAGCACTTAATCTCGGGAACTTTTACCCCCATTTTTAGTGCCTGCTGAGAGATGGTACTTTCCTGGGGGAAAAAGTGCCCCAGTTCTGATTGGCTGGGCGAATTGCAAACCACCCGCCATTTTATTATCCTGGCATTAGCATTATTAGCATTAGCATTCGCCCAGTGCACAAACGCAGAGAGACTAACTTATGGCTAACTCCTCTCTCACTTTAGGTAACTTCACTAAAAATCGATCCATGTTGCAGCTCGCATAAAGATAGATTTCGCTGTTTCTCGTTATTTTTTTCTCACGCTGCGCCTCCCCTGAAGCTCTCTGGCGCCCCCCAGGGAGGCGCGCCTCACACTTTGAAAACTGCTGGTATAGGGCATAAGACAAATACAAAAATAAAAGAGTAGGATAGATTTGAATACAATAGTGCAGGTTATGTTGCAAGACCAGTCCGCAAGTTGTGCAGATAAAGTTAACTATATACATGTGAGAACAATTAATAAATACAATGAGCTAAATGATGTAGAGAATGTTGAAAAAGGCAGGATTTTATGTACACACGCAAATAGAATAATGAACTCAAAACTAAGGAAGCGGGTCATCTCCTCAATCATTTTTGAAAACCCGGACCAGATTACTAGACTGACTGCACTGACACGCTTACTAACTGAATCCCGTGAGTAGAAGTGACTGTGTATTTTTTCTGGAAGAAGAAGGTTTTGTTGAGGATTTTCAAATGGAGAAATATTAGGGCTGTCAAGTTCACACGTTAATAACGTGTTAACGCAATTTTTTTTTAACGCCACTAATTATGTTAACGTGCGATTAACACATGTGTATTTGCCCTCGGCCCGCCCCGTAGTTTCAGAGCCCATAGGCTTGACGTTGTTGTTGTTGTTAGCCTGGACACGGCGTCTACGAGCAGCAAGCTTTCAACAGCGATAGCTAAATGGGTGGCGGTGGCTACAGCTTGCAGGACAATTAACATTGTGGAGGACGAGGGACTGTGTGAGATAATTCGGATCGCATCCAACGTGTCGACTGCACATCACAGCACATTATTTTGACCCCTGTGGGAACTTCAGTCTCATGCTTTGACTGAAGATGAAGACAGAGGAGCGGCATTTCGCCGACAACTGTAAACAGGCTTGTCTGTTTGAGCAACTGGCTCAGTGCAGAGAAGTACACAGGGTTGGGAGAGAGTGTAAGAGAGAGAGAGAGGTTCCAGGTTGTTGTGTTGAGAATATTCAGGAGAATATTTGTCATTGTTCCAATGATAATAAACAGACATTTGCATAAAACATATTTGTCCACTCATATGTTGATAAGAGTATTACAAACTTGACAAATATTCCTCTAAGGTACATTTAGAACAGATAAAAAATGTGTGCGATTAATTTGCGATTAACTATGGACAATCATGCGATTAATCGCGATTAAATATTTTAATCGACTGACAGCCCTAAGAAATATACATCTACCCTAGTTATTTTTGGACTTTCTTTTAATAAATGAACTGTCCTTTGTGAACCATTTGAAAACCAAAAGTGGACTTTTTGATTTATTTTGTATTTGTGGTTTGAAGGTTTCACTTTTTTGGTGCGAGATTTAAATATAAATACTAAATATGTTCTGTCAGTGTTGGGGGGTGTACTGTAAATAATATGCACCTTTGTGCAGTTTTGACTGTGATTAAAAAAAAATCTTAAATGTTAGGAGAGAGACCTGACTGACACCCCTAAATAAAATGATCAAACATCAAAACTAAAAGTCAAACTGTCACAAGGTGAACACAAAAACTGACAGTGTTCTGGTTTCTTATCACTAACCTCCCATTGTAGTTCCGATCATCAAACATCTTCCTGGCTCTGATATAGACCTGATGACTAGGGCGAGGAATCCCCTCAGCTGGACGGACAGAGAGTAGAGTTAGTTATATATATAACTATATATGTATATTTAACAAATATATTAAATATATATGTATATTTAGATATCCTGTATGTACAGGCCTAATATAAAAGGACGCAAAAGACAGTTCATATATTAAAGGAAAGTCCAAAAATAACCAAAGTAGATGTATATTTATCTGTTTGAAAATCCTCAACAAAGCCTTTTTCCCCCAGAAAAAATACAGTCTTTCTACTCACGGGATTCAGTTAGTCACTGTGTCAGTTCAGTTGCTGGGCAACGATTAAACATGGTTGGTTTGCAAACACTTTAAACAGTAAGGTGCTTTTAAATAATAGCAGTTAAAATATTTCTTGTAAATCTCAACTTCAACATAAATTAATGTAATCAAATCAAAGCTATTTGCCTCTGCCAGGGCTTTAACGTGTTATCTAGTTTGTTATAGAAGTTGCCCTCAGAGTCCAGAGATAAGATTTTCAACTTTGAAGTGGTTACAAATAACTCTGGTTCTATCATCTCCGCCCTCTGAAGAGATGTCAAATGTCCATGTAAGAGTTCGGTACCTTTGTCCATGTTTCTGTCCCCGCCAGTGGTCGCGTTAACCGAATATTTTCCGTCCATGACAATTCTTTTTTAACAATGACGGAAAACTCTGAAAGCAATCCGTCATTTTGACAGATTAGAACAAACTCAGAATAGCGCCAAAGTTTCCCCGCAGCGAGGCTCCGGTGTTATGCCGTGTTATGCATGCCCGCCAAAAAGGAAATGATATAGTTTCCAAACCTAACTTTGCCGTACAAATCATTGAAATGTCTGTGAGTATTAGCTTTACGCTGAGCGCGCTCCTGCGAGGTGCAGTGGGCATGCATAACACGGCAGAACATCGGCGCTAACAGTTCACGAGCGTGCCCCCCCCCCCCCCCTTGCTCCTGTGGTTTGTCTGTATGTTTTCAGAGCCAGGGAGCAACGGACTTTTTCGCACACTGGTGTGTAAATAAAATACAGCTTAGTGTCTGTGTGCGTACCGATCCTCTCTAGGAAGTGATGTCGTGCTCTCAGTTTTCTGATCTCCACTTCCTGTTCCTTGTATCTGCGTGGGAACAGCAGCAGATTGGCCGAGCTGACACTTGTCAGAGACAGGAAGTCTGCCATGTTCTCTCTTATTCGCTGGTTTTCCTGATGAGAGTAGCGGCCGGAGCGGAGACACACACCTGCACACAAACTGCACAGAGTAACACCTGCGCACAGAGTCACACAGTCTCACAGTCTCACATGGCGCACACACACACACACACACACACACACACACCCACACACACACACACACACACACACACACACACACACACACACCACACACACACACACACACACCACACACACACACACACACACACACACACACACACACACACACACACACACACACACACACACACACACACACACACACACACACACACACACACACACACACACACACACACACACACACACACACACACACACACACACACACACACACACACACACACACACACACACACACACACACACACACACACACACACACACACCACACACACAACACACACACACACAACACACACACACACACACACACCTTGCTGTTTGAAGGCTTTGAAGCGGTGCAGGTCGTATCTCAGCAGTCTTCTGATCACATCGTCACATTTATTCTTGATGTCTGGAACAAACTCCTGCAGCTCCTCCACCAGTTCAAAGTTCACCCTGACAACAGAACTTTCAAGAAGAAGTACAACAGGAGGTACAACAGATTACAATATGAGGTACAACAGGAAGTACACTGTTAATAACATAATAATGATGATAATAACTCACTGCTCTTTTTGTGCTGCTGTTGCTGTGCCGCTTGTCTTCTTCATCTGTTTCTTCTTCTTCTCCTCCTCCTTTTCTACCAGAACATCTTTCTTTCTCCTCTTCTCCTCCTCCTCCTGGCGGTGTGCAGCAGCAAGAGCACTGACCTCCTCTTCCTCCCTCCTCTTCTTCTTCTTCTTCTTCTTCTTCTTGGTGTGGTTGGTTTGCATGGTGCTAATAATAATAATATTAAAGTCATAATTAAAAAAATGCTTTTCATGGTACTCAAAGACCCTTTACATATTAAAATTCAAAAGTAAATCTACACACTTCACATGTTAACATCTGCACACATATACTACACATATTAACAGTGTTAGAGCCACAATGAAGTCAAAGTTATTATTTAGATTCATAATTTGATAAATGAATTAATGATGTAAAATGATTTATATTGCCATGGTGAATATCTTTTGATGAAATGATTGTTCATTTTAAAATCGTAAATATGATCTGTTTCCTTGTACCTTCCGGTGTTTATTTAAGTGAGGCAATTGAGGACAGCCGGGGTGCTCTGAGACCTGATGAGACGGGGAGCGGAACAGTTTTTCGACCGCAAATTGTAAACAGAAATTAGTGTTGCAAATTGGACTGCAAAGTATAGAATATATAAGAAAGTAAATCGCCGAAATTATTAGTTAGATTTGTTATTTTGAGACTATTTAAGTCAATACTTTTTTGTTAATAAATTACATTTTTTGACTGAAAACCTTCGGCTGCTTATTGCTTTGGATTGCGTGTCGTCAAACACACACACACACACACACACAAAACAGGCAGTACACTGTTAATAACATAATATTAATAATAACTCACTGCTCTCCTTCTGCTGCTGTGCTGCTTTTCTTCTGCTTCTTCTTCTCCTTTACTCCCAGCACATCTTTTGTTTTCTTCTTCTTCTTCTTCTCCTGGTGTTGTGCAGCAGCAGGAGGATTGACCTCCTCTTCCTCCCTCCTCTTCTTCTTCTTCTCCTCCTGGTGTTGTGCAGCAGCAGGAGGATTGACCTCCTCTTCCTCCCTCCTCTTCTTCTTCTTCTCCTCCTGGTGTTGTGGCAGCAGCAGGAGGATTGACCCTCCTCTTCCTCCCTCCTCTTCTTCTTCTTCTCCTCCTGGTGTTCTGCAGCAGCAGGAGGATTGACCTCCTCTTCCTCCCTCCTCCTCTTCTTCTTCTTCATGGTGTTGTTAGTTTGCGTGGAGATGTTCTTCTCTCCTTTATTCTGTTTCATCTTCTGATAATAATAATAATAATACATTTTATTTATAGAGCGCTTCTCATGGTATTCAAAGACACTTAGCATTTTAAAATTCCTTACAAAAATGTTTAACATTTGTGAAGCGCATATCGAGGCTTGTATCGTTTTAGGCGTTGTGCACACGGGAACGTTTGCGTTTATGCACAGTATGTGTTTTCAAAAAAGTCTTCCGTTCACATGCATTTGTTTCATTTAACGTGTCTGTTCAAACGAGACCGCTGGAAACGCTGTAGTACATATGCCAGGACTGTAAGTGGTCGCTGTAACTTCCTTCCGCCACAAAATACAACCAAAAGCAGCGAAGAAGGACCCGGAGCAGCCCCGCAGCAATGTTGCCATGGCTACCCTTTCTGTTTATGCCCCCGCGGTTGGATTTAGCCACATGTAGTAGTTTCATGTATTCTCCATGTCCAATTGTTGCTGATGGTTGTGGTTAGAGGAGCTGTAGATTTTGCACTAACATCTGTAGCATGGTCAGTAGCAGTAGCACTAGCAGTAGCTACTGACAGGAGGAAGTGTGTGTGGCGATTGCTGGTATTCAGCGGGATATAGTAATTTCCTCCGCATGTAAATATATGGATAAATGCAACGGGGAAGTTAACTGAAAGAAACCGAATCTGTGGATATTGCATCGACCGACCAAGAAGCACGTCTCCGTGGAGAGGACGCGCTCAGAAAGAGAGATATTCTCTACAACACCGGGTGAGATCGCTCTCTGGGGACACGCCGGTCCTCGTGTTTCCTTTTTTTGTGTGGATTATAGCCTGAATAGGCCTACAAACATTTCTCTTTTTGCCGCCGACGGGTGCAGGAGCAATGAACAATGATGGCCTGGATTAGGCAGTAAAGACAATTTTGGTGTATCGCAGAGCGGACTGTTTAATTTTGTTTGTGTTGTTTGGCTGGAAAATTGTCAATATAATGGATCAATGCATGAAATCTGACTCTGTTTATTTTGTTTAAGGAGTATATTGGGCGTTAACAATTCTGGTTTGCCTTTTATAATATTATTTCATTCAAGAACCCCTTGTGCGTTTAATTAACACAGCTATTTTTGATAGTTGATCGTTACAGATGGCTACTGGCCATGCTACAGCAGTGAGCAGGAGAGGTGGGGAGAGGTGGGGCTATCGTTATTTTTTCAGGAAATATTCGTATAGAGGTGATTACACAGACTCGTTTGACCCCCCAGAGAGTTTCGTTTGCAAATCTATCCACCTTGGGACCCGTTATCGTTTGTGGGGTCCGTTTCTATCGGCCTCGTGTAAATAATAGGGCTATACGCAAGAGAAACTATGCAGATACAAGCAGTTTTGTCCTCGTGTAAACGGCACCTTAGTCCTGTGAATGGTAAATGGATTTATGTGGGGCTTTGTTCAGGTTTTACGACTCCTCAAAGCGCTTTACATAGTCCCATTCACACTTCATTTATACAAAGCAATCGGCCACTTGCTCTAGGAACCTAATGGCGCGTTTCCACTACAGCCCGCAGCACGGTTTAAGAGGGCTGTGACGTCAGCGGCCCGTCTTTGGTTGCGTTTCCCACTTGGCCTAGTAACCCGGCCGGCGGGTCCTAATTCACAGTTTTTCTGGCCTCATAAAATCGTGGGTCTGGGGCCAGAGACAACGAGGCTGAGTCGGCTGAGTATGCTAAACTAGAGAGAGCATCGCTGGCAAGGGGGCAACAACTACAAACAAGATGGACATATTTGACCGTGATTTAATTGTAATACACGTTTCAAAATGATGCCGAAGTAACAACATACTGATACCGGTTAGTAAAAAACCATGAATTAATGCTTTGTCAAGTCTGCAGACAGACGGCAGGCGAAAAAACCTTTTAAAATGCTTGTTTTCTAAATGGAGATTGGCTAAGCTAACGCAGTATATGCTCCAAACCGTCCACACTCACACAACGGCCTATACAGACATAAATAAAGCAGCGACTGTATTCGCCATGACACAGGCAGTCTGTGGTTTGTACTTGTTAACTTTTGTCTAGTTTCTGAACATATATAAGGAGCTGTGAGCTCTGAGTGCTAACAGCTAACGGCTGTGTTGTTTTTCTGGGGTCCTCTGAAGATCACGTCACGGCTCCGCCTACACTGCGTTACTATAGATACTGCCCCAGTTCCTAAACTGTAATGGAAATGCGCCATAAAGTGAGCCAGTCCTAACGAGGCCTAGCCATAACCGAGCGGGGGCCGAGCGAGGCCGTGTAGTGGAAACGCGACATAACACTCACACAGCAACCGTTGGCCATCAGGAGCAACTCAGGTTTAGGTATCCTTCCCAAGGATACATGGACATGTTGACTGTAACAGTCGTGACGTCATGGATGACAATCCGAAGCCTAGCTGACCGTCTTAACCCATGTGACTGCTTTAGATATTGGTTCAGATCATTCCAGATCGGTGAAATCATCAATCAAATCAGTCAATAGGTCACTCTTTTATAGCTTTTAAAGATGCTATTGTTTTTACTATAGGGCTGTTATTATTTTATTATTATTATTATTATTCTTTATTTTCAGTTTTTATGTTTTTCTTTGTATTTTTACTTATGTTATAGTTTGTGAGCTGAACTGTGTGATTTTGTTTCCCATGTATTTATTCCTCTCTACAGCACTTTGGTCTGGAGGTGTTAAAGTGCTTTACAAATAAAGCTGTATTGTATTGTATTTTCCTGGTTTTAAAATGAAACATCCCTGTTGGAGCAATCTACAAACAGAAGGAATGTATTGATAATGGCATAAGAAATAGTATGAGATGAACCCTTTTGCGAACCAATTGGATGGAAAGCTTCAAAGCTTCATGAAGCTTCATCTTGCCCTCACAAGTAGTGATGTTACGTATTGCGCCGAGGCTTAGGAGCGTGGTTCGAGAAATCCAGGACGTTTTTGGTGAAGCGTGTATCGAGGCTTGTGTCGTTTTAGGCCAGTGACGTCATCGGTGACAAACGAAGCCTCGCTGCCCCTCGATTAGGGCTGTGCGATTATGGCAAAAATCATAATCACGATTATTTGGGTCAATAATTGATATCACGATTATTAAATACGATTATTCATTGACTTTGAAAACATCCATTTATTGAACTTTAAAACAAATAATAATTTGAACAGTATCTTGTTAACTGTTGATTACCCTGAACGTATAATTCAACTGAAAAACCAATACAAAAATAAATTAAATAAATAATATCAAAATAATAAATACCAATAAACAAGATCAACAAATATTTTGGAGCGCACTTCCCCAAGCTACTAAACATATATAAATATGATAAATACAAATAAATGAGACCAAAATTAATTAGATCAAATATGTTGCAGTGCACTGTCACAACCTAGCAAAGCTAAATACATTTTTTTTTCGATCATGTTGTTTTCGTAATTGTGGCAGGCCAAAATCGTAATTGCGATTAAAATACGATTAATTGCACAGCCCTACCCTCGATACCACGTGACTGCTTCAGAAAGAGCCAGTGTTAATTTTGGCAGCTGTTTTTGATTTAGTCTTAGTCTTTAGACAAAAATGGTTATTAGTTTTAGTCACATTTCAGTCATTCCTATCCTTCGTAGTTTTAGTCTAGTTTTAGTCGACGAAAACTCAAAACGTTTTAGTCTACTTTTAGTCGATGAAAATTCCATTTTAGTCAACTTTAGTCAAAATGTTTTCTCTCTTTAAACCAATTCAGTTAGGCAAATACAGGTTTCTGAAATTGTAATCAAGGTGACAGCATCAAGTGTTGAAATTTGTAAAGCAACATTTCACTCTCTTAACACTTTACTTACTGTAATATATAGGGATGGGTATCGTTAAGGTTTTTTACAGTACTACTCTTATCGAAACTGCTTATCGATCCGGTGCTTTAACGGTATTCTTGTAGGTACTTTTTGTTATTTTTTAAAGGGAAAAACTAAACAAATTGTTAACCGAATTAACATTGCTTTATTTACATGTGAAATAAATAAATAAAATATGTATAATGATGTTATTATATTGTACTGTACTTGAGTAAAATGTTGAGGTACTTGTACTTTACATTTAAATGTTTTGCTACTTAGTACTTCTACTCCACTACAGTTCAGAGGTAAATGGTGTACTTTTACTCCACTACATGTATTGAATCCCTTTAGTTACTTTACAGATGTGGGATGAATGATGTGAAATCTAATCAAGTGTTAACTCAGACTTTAGTTCCACCTGGAGTAAATTCACAAGCCACCCTGCAGTATACAAAGTCATTACAACTAGCTGCACCTTTACCAGCTTTGAGAACACTTTCATGATCAATCATTATAAAACATATCATATATATTATTCTGAAATGGACCAATCTGCACAATGACTACTTTTACTGTCGCTACTTTTATACTTTTATTTGAGGAACATTTTGAATGCAGGACTTTTACTGTAACAGAGTATTCATACACTATGGTATTTTTACTTAACTACAAGATCTGAGTACTTCTCCCACCTGTGCACACCTGATGTGATAACGTTACTCGTAATTGGCGCAACAGAGCTACGAGTTAAGGAAGTCGAAAATTGTGCATTTTCTCCGATTGAATATGAACGCCTTTTGGCCGGCTGTTTGGACAGACTACTCTACTCGTGTCAACGCGCTAAACGCCATAACACTAATGGCAAACGAGCTTTGTCCACATCGAGCCTTGTAGAGTGTCTCTATACTTCTGAACGCTCCGTCCCGGCAGATCTCTGTGTCCGCTGCAGCGTGTCTGGTTAGGCCCCCCCCCGCCCCCCCCCGCACACAGAGAGAGAGAGAGAGAGAGAGTGAGGCCCCGCCCCCCGCACACAGAGAGACACAGGGAGATCGCTCTTCTGGAGTGAAGAGAGAATAATGATATTGCAAGTTAGAAACGTAAGATGCATTTTGACAGACAAGATGGACACTTGGGGGGAAATACCCTGCATTTTGAATGTCCGATAGTCCACCATTAACACCTTAGTCCCGTCTCGTCTCGTCAACGAAAACTA